CTTTGCAAAAAGTCTCCAGTAGTTTGGAACTAGTGATACAGGAATGATTGCCTAGGTGCTGAAAGACAAGATTCACATAGCATGTAGAACTATAACTATGCACACGAACAGCAATTAGCTTACAACTAAAGACTTTTATATATGTATCACTAGTGCCAAACCACTTGTATTTTGTCATCTGCAGCCAAATCTAAGTTTCATTTGAATGACTCTTATATTGGTATATATAAAGCAATTTTATGGGCATACCAGACTTCTCATAAAAAACTATTCAGAATTACAGGAATAGTTAACAAGAATATATTTTTAATTATTCCTATCAGCTTCAGTGCATCTTTCACAATTAAGCTATTGTTAAATTAATAAAAGTATGTTTCATTATAAATAACAGAATTTTTAAATTAACAGAATTTGAATTAAAATACACATCACATATATCTATTTCTAGACATATTATTAATATACAGTACAAAGTCTTTAATCCGGAACTCAAAGATACAAATTTTCTGTGCATGCGTAAACGCATAATGCATTTACACATGCACATTTAATGTATAACGGACAGATTAAGCTATGCTAAAATTATCTAATTATCTATTTCAGTTACAGGGTTCGTACGCATTTCTGCACAAGGAAATTAAGGACTTTTAAGGACCATTAATGAAAAACATTAAGGACCTATGAGCAAATGGAAACTGAATAAATTCAATTAAAAATATTATATCTATGCCTGAATGTAAGTAGCTTGCATTATTATTAAACATAACTTAATTAACATAATTATTAATATTTTGAGAATAAAAATAATTTTATGAAATTTATCAAGAAGCATTAAATATTTTACACTCATAATAACTGGACATATCTGAAAGAAGATAAGTGACATTTTACTAACAGTTAGCTTTTTTTTTTTTTTTTTTTTTTTTTTTTTTTTTTTTTTTTTTTTAAGTCTCCTTTTGTCACGCACTTGCTCAGTCTAGAGGTTTAATAAGTAGATTTTATGTCAAGCAGCATAGGTTAAAATGAGCATTAAAATCATAATCAGCATGATTCATAACAAAAGACTGGCTGTTGTCACTGCACCTGCTTGCCTATAGTAAGACCTGCTAATCAGAACAAACTTGAAAGGCCTGATGTAGGCATAGTTAGCAAGTTTTGAAAGTTAGCTGACCACTGTCTGATGCTGTTAGTGTCATAGCTTCGTGTAGAGTTCCAGGGGTTGTAACTCAGTTAATATAATTTAAGGTTCTATTAGGCCACTAAAGCATTAGCGGTGATAGGTTGTTTTGCATTAAGTCTCACTAGATGCAAAGAATAAGTTTCACATGAATTTTTATATTTTTGTGTTTTACCTTTGTGACCACGGTAAAGGTTTAACACGTTGAGCCCACGGCGCCGAATTTGTTGTCCTTTCTGTTCAGTCGGCAGCGATCAGCCGGTGGCAATATTGCGATCAAGCGGTGCAATATTGCCGACTTAAATTATTCATAAATAATACAAAAAGGAAGGAGATGCACATAAAGTCCGAAAGTATTGTTTGAAATGTTATGATGACAATTCAAAACTATTTGGATGCAAGATAGCCAAAAATGTAACCAAAATAGTTGTTTCATATTGTAATATGTGTAAAGCTAAGCCGTATTTTTGTTTAGAATGTTTCAATAAATTTCATTAAAATACTTTTGATCACATTTCATTGAAACTATACTTATTTTTTAACTTTAATATTGTCGGTCCGGCGGACTGACGCCAGCCAAACGAAAATTCCAGAATAATATTTGTTGAAAAACCCTATTAATATCACAATCTCATAAAATTTCACAATTTAAAATACATGCAATTTATGACATTGATTTTTAAACAATATTAGGATAATTACACATTAAAATCTACAAAACATAAAACTCAACAAAATAATTATGCGTCTTTTTAATTTGAAGGCCTGCCCAGACATTTTGGCTAATTTATATCGATTTCCTTCTCCTTAAACATGTTTTCTAACAATTAGAAATTTGTCTCAATATGCAAAACAATGTTCTCATTAGTTTCTGTGTGTTTTATCTCCCAACTGCCAACCTCTCCACAATGTACTACCTATGAGGGCTTACTTGATCTGGTAAAAGTTAAATAGTCCAACAACCCCCCCCGACAGACGTGAAACAAATTATCACTATGTCTGAAAGTAACTATAAATCAGATAATAAATTTAAATAAAGGTTTAAATAAGCTTCTTATTCAAAAAGAACTTGGAATATACAGGCCTGTTCTTATGCAAACAAAATCATTTACAGTTTGTGGTGATATAATTAAACAAGAAGAGTCAAATTCAAACTAAAAATATGGACTAGTGGTCAAAGACTATATAATTTAATTTCAATTTAATCTGGTTTAGTAACTCTATTGTCATAATAAACTCAAATGTCAGCAGCAGTAATGGAAAGACTAATAATTACAAATTATCAGAGCTGATACAACTAATGCAAAGAGCAAGTGGAGGTCAGAAACACGCTTGTCTTACACTCCAGAAACCTTCATTTTATCAGATCATTATGAGAAATGAAAAAAATTCTTACCATGAAAAAATAAAAAAGACATTTTTAATTAATTACACAGATATTTTGCTTTTGTTAAAAACTGTTTTGTAAACTGTGCTTTATAGCATTATTCCTTGCTTATTTTTCAGATTCAAAAAATTGTACAATATATGGCCAAAATGGAACTTTATAATATGGGAAAGAAAAATAAAAATACTTTATTTTAATATTATTTCTTAGATATAATTCCAATATATTAACTATTATTTTATTGAAATTTAACAACAAAATCGTCAAAAAATTCCCAGATCTCGTAATTAAAGATTTTCTATAGAAACCGATCTTAAAATTGCCAAAATGTTGATAATCGCCAAATTTAGAACCATTTAATAAAAGAATTCACATCCCCAAAAGTGAAAAGTTCTTTGAGAGCTCTTCATTAGAAAAAATGAAATCATTTTGAAATGCTTATGTTTCACTTCTTGTTCAGAAACTCGAGTATCCCACCATTATTTATATTACAAATAGGAAAAAATTATAACTCATGAACCCATTCAAAAAATAGCCATGTTTGTCAGTGAATCGCCAAAAATATTCCTGCAAAATGCTAATTCACACTCTAAATGACAGTCGTAAAAACAGACAGAAATTTCAGATGATTAAAATTAAGGACCTTCTGACGCTTTTGGCCAAAATTAAGGACTTTTAAGGACCAAAAATCGATTCCAAAAAACTTAAGGACTTTTAAGGACCGTACGAACCCTGAGTTAATGTTGCACATTGCGTTGTTCCTTAATCTTCTAATTGGATAGGGCTTATTATTTTTTTTAGACTGTTAGAGCAATTTTATAAAAAGTAAGCTTGAACCTTCGATTATGTCAAAAAGAGTTTCCAATTCTGGAGCTGCCAAAGGATCTACAAAGCAAAAGCATGTTGCGATGTCTATCAAACAAAAAGTGGAATTGCTGCAAAAAATGGATAAAGGCATGAAGAAAGTGACAGAGAGGTTAGTGAAAACAAAAAAATTTCGATTGAAAAATTAGTCGGTATTCTTGACACAGCAATTACTGGACTTGAACAGCGGAACTTTTTAACTGAATAAGAAATTATGTCTGTTTATAGATTTACAGAGAAAGTATTAGTACATAAAAGGAAGCAACTTAAACAACTTACGTTGAAAGAAATGTTTAATAAAGTAAACAAATAAATATAAAGCTTTTTTTTTTTTTTTTTTTGTAAATTTTGATACCCTTTAGATCATAATTGCTCATAAATTACGGTTTCATATTTTTAATATTATAATTTCTGCATGCCATCTTACCAGATTTAAATTGATGATCTATAATCCGGAAAAACCTCTAATCCGGAATAGCCGAAGTCCCGACGAGTCTGGATTAAAGACTTTGTACTGTATAACCTGTCAGTAAAATGTTGCAAATTTTTACCTCTATTTGTGTTCAATGACACTGCCCATTAATACAGTTTCTAATATTTCCATAGCTCCCAACTTTGAAACTTTAAAAATCAGAAAGCTTCCACATTGCATAAAGATTCCATCTCAAAAGAATTTCAGACTGATTTAAACTTGCTAAATAGCGCAAGATTCAGGTTACTATTTATATACAATTCTCATTGAAAAATATATTATTTAATTAGCTGGCTTATTTCATTTTGAAATTTTCATAATACTGAGAAAATTCCGAGCAGGAATGGAAAGATTTTATTTATCAAAGTACTTATAATATAGTACTTATATATAGTTATCAAAGTAAATGTGATAAAAATAAAACTAATAACTAATGTACATATTACTTGCCTTATTAAAATTAGCAATGTACCTATACTGAAGTAAAACAAAATTAAATACAAATATTAACTAATTAAACATAGTTTGAATCCTCATGGAGTTTCACAGATGTCTACAGTAAATTGAGACAGTTTGAATTAAAATTTAGCAAGGAAAAATCAGTAAAACGTAAAAAGAAAAAATATCAGTCAGATGAAATAAAATTTAATACGACAAATTATTCTGAAAATCACTAGGGGATGAGAACGATGTATACACCTTTTAAATTTAATTTATTCAATAAATTTCCTTCATCACTAAAAAAAACCTTTTCGTTGGTAACAGTTAAAACTGGAAGATTCAGTGATCTACCAAGAAATGTGTTGAAAAACCAAGAAAGCAAGCAATTACATATTTTGTAATTATCCTATATTCTGTTATCATTAACATCATTTTTATATAAACTGTACAAAACTGAAATTATACTCTAAAGAACTTAAAACTAGCATTTTTCAAAACCTTAAAAATAACATTTCTAAGGAAATGCATTCATTATTTTTTAATATATTATTATATCAACTGTTTACATTTCAAAGCTGAATATTCTGTAGCTTTTGTTTTGTTTTTGTAAATAAATTTTGAAAAGTTAAACTTAACATGCATTTAATATATAATTTCACCTTTGAAATGAATTTCAAAACCACTAATTTCTAGTTCAACTCCTAATAGTGCTTCACCCAGAGTTTCGTGATAGTGGTCGATACTCTGCTTCGGTCCGGTACAGAATGGCAATGAAAAATATGCATATGTTTCTTGCCGATTGTGATAAGGCCCCACAGTATTCATCCATAGTACTACCTCTTCATTATTTTCATACTGAAAGCAAAGGAAACAGACATTTAAATTAAAATTTATTTTTTAGACAGATTTTCATTTTACATAAACAAACAGGGGGAATTTTATTCATTCTAATTATTATCACACTGAATATGGCTCCAAACCTTATATCAAGTTACAACCCCTTAGAAATAAACTATTTCCACATGAATCATGCTAACATTGCATAAAAACATATTAAGCTTCAATAAATGCGAAACAGCATACACATAAATGGCTTACCTTTATGGTAAAGAAGTTACCTTAAGCTTCATAATGCATATTTTGAAAGATTAGAAGCATAACCTTCATTAAATTCCCTATTACCTCTCATACTTGTTTCTGAGTTAAGTTACGTTCATAATTCATAATCAGATAAAATCTTGGTTGATCTTTGGATTATGGTAACTTGGCGATTTTTTCGCGAAAATTTGGCGACCAACTCCGTGCTACAAGCAACCCCTGCTAGTTTTTTTTTCCGACGCCATTTTGTTCTTCACAAAGTAAAATCGTGACATTTTTTTTTCTTTTTATTTAACTGAAGCATTTTTGTCCAACAATCTGCTAGCCGAATTACACTTATACTAGAAATTTTATAACAAAACTGCTTAATCATGACAAATATTCACTGAAAAATTGGGAAAAAGTGCACAATCGGAAACTCCTTGCGCATTTTTCACAATAACACATACACATAAACCATGTACACCGCGACTTATTTTTACTTAAAAAAACATCCCAGAATTGCACAAAAATGGCATTGCGCACACTCTTCACTATATCCATGTACACTGCTTTTTTCTCATAAATTAGAAAAAATTCACGAAAATACATGACAATTTTCTGAATCTTTAAACCCGGTAAAAGAACATATATGAAATTACCTTATCGCGAAAAAGTATATACCCTTTCCAAATATGAACATTTCCACATATAAAATAAATAAAATATCCAAAAACTTTTACCTCTAAATTATCCATTATATTATAAATGTCACCAACGAATTCATACTGCAAACACTATAAATACTTAGTGTCAAATATTTAAATTATTTCCATGCATGTTTACTTCAACTAAAACGTATACCAAATTCCTACAAACATAAAATTCACAAAATAACTATCATTTAATTAAAATATCACTAAACCATGTACACGTCGACTTATTTTTACTTAAAAAAACATCCCAGAATTGCACAAAAATGGCATTGTGCACACTCTTCATTATATCCATGTACACTGCTTTTTCTCATAAATTAGAAAAATTCACGAAAATGCATGAAATACTCAAGGTTACTACTCAGCATATTCCAAATACTACAAACTATAACTCACAAAATTAAATTAAAATTTAATTACATTAAAAAACACTACTTAAAATATAAATAAGCATACATTAAATTAATAAAATTAGATTACAATCCTAATTACTTTAAACTAAATCATTGCTAATACAATTTTCAAATAATACCATTTTAATTTATTTACTCCTTACATTTAGAACAATGCATAAAATAATATCCTCAAATGATTAAAAATACTAACTTGCCTAATCTTCTTCAGAATCTTCATTACGTAGCTGCAGTACTACTGCTAATTTCTAAATCCTAAATCCAGAGTCACTGGAAGTCTATTCACCAAGTAATAAGAAATTAATAAAATTTCACCTATACTCAAACTACTTTCAGCAAACCACGTACCCTTCCTTACTCCTTTCACAAAATGTCCATTTTCACCATATTTCTTGCATGGCCATTTAACTTCTATATCCTTCCTTTCACACAATCTCAACTTATTATTATTATCAGATAAACGCATTAAATTTAGAATTCACTTTACATAGCGCCATGCATCCGAAAATTATCAACACTATTTCACACACACACAATGAAGCTTTCCAAATTAACCCCCTTTTCCGATTAAAGAACTGTAATTCGTCCATTAATGTCACGTTTCACAAACACAGAATATAGCTAAATACGAAATTTCCAGATTTCCCCCTTTTCCGATTAAACAACTGTAATTCGTCCATTAATGTCACATGAACATATCTCATGATCTCTCATTTCCCTCACACAAAATAATGCGTAATCGGAACTGAGTGCTTCTCACATTATTACCAAAGTCCTAGGTAGGAACCTTTATCGCCTCCAAAATGTTGCCAAACTACCAGTTACCATGTTCCAAAGATCAGCCAAAATGGGTTTAATTTATTACTTAGCATACTGTACAGTACAACGTCTGAAATCTGGACATCCAATATCCAAAACTCCAGACCACAAAGCAAAACAAATAACAAAAAAATTTCTCTCCCCATCTTACAAATGATGATATGATTGAGAGCTAATTTTTTAAAATCTACTAGTGTGATTTTTACAAAACTTTGTAGTTTGGCATAATTTGAGTTACAGAATCGAAATATGGAAAAAGATTGGCATGTCATTGGCAAGTCCAATTTTGTGTCAAAATACCTATATTAGAGCAAAGCTATATATAAATCTAATACATGTCTTAAGTCGTGCTTTCAAGACATGAAAAATGCAAGTTGAATTTCGTCAATCAGTCCAGTAGAACAGCCGATATAGAATTGTAGGTTCCCCCCCCCCACAGTGTACATCATGTTAACACATAGCCCTAAATACATCAACATAGTATGAATTTGCTCAGATCCAAAGATGCTAACAATACCACTACTGCACAAAGAATGTTCATGCAAAATCATAGGCACGTAATTATCTCTTAGCCTATAAGTATCAACACAGATTATTTTTTTTTTTTTTATCAAGAATATCTATGGCAGCAGTTTAACAGTTATGTGCACGCCACCATCTGCCTTAATGGTGGTGGTAATGCATGTGGTTTTGAAATTTAAAGTTTCTACCTATTGTGATTAGTTGTGTGGAATTTTAACGAATCATAATGCCACGAATGATTTCGTCTGCTAATGAAAAAAGAAAGGGTTGCATTTTTATCAGAAATACGGCTTCGTAGTAGTAACAGTGTACAAATACACATTCCACGAAGTCAATTAAGTCACCATTCTCCAATTTTTTTAAGTTAAAACAGGTCAGTGTGTACATGAAGAGCAGTGACAAAATACTCTGCAATGTCAAGAATTCGGAAATTCTCAGATTTCTTTTCCAAGTTAAAACAGATCATTATGCACATAGGTAGAAAAATGGGAACATAAATGCTTTATCATAGTTTATTGCATTTTCAATTTAATTTGCAGCCATTTTATTTAATTTTCAGTGTTTTGTTATGGATATTGTTTTATGATATTTTCAGTGTTTCATTAGGGACATTTCTTGGGTTTCTAATTTTACTAATTTGTTGCTATTCTCAGTACCACCATTTTTTAAATAGTTACTATTTTTCATGTGTTACATTGCTAAAAAATTAGCCACCAATGACTGGCAACTTTGTAGGAGGGATGGGTAGATAATCTGGAAGGACCAAGAAATTTTATTGGAAGTATCTGAAATGCAATTATCTTCCTCACTTCATTTGGAAAAGTAATGTTTACATGACACTTGCAATGCATTTAAGAGGCTGATGTTCTCTAAACTGAAGTTCATTTTCTGATATAAAGTGTCTCAAATATTTTATTCTGAATTTTTTTAATTTTTCAACTCTCAAAATCTGACTTTTTGATCAAAAAATCAGATTTGGTAGGTAGTTTGGAAACAATTATGGAACTGCTCTGCCATTCTAAATTGAATTTACTAGTTTTAAAAACCTACTGGATAATTTTGAAAGGTTTTTGATATCATTTATCATTCTGAAATTTCAAGCTTTTAACTGAAATGGATAGTCTTCAAACAGTTGCTTGGTGCAGGAAAACAAATCAGAGTTTCAGTTCTGTACAAAAATCTAATATACGCCCTAATTTCACCAAATGTGGCGATATGTGTTCTGCGCTGGTTTTTGGCACGAATGCGTGTTCTATGGCAACCCTGTTGACGTTGAAAAATCTTTCGCTGGAGCTCGTTGATTCGCCTCTGTGTCTGAGAAGATGGGAGGGAAAGATAAAATGGTAGTTGTTGAATTGAAGTTCGGCAAAAGGAAATATCATTGTGGCTATCCTGTTGAGGGTAGTGGGTATTTGGAAGTGTGGAAAGAGGGTCTGGGAGATTATTTTTAATGGCAGTGCATGATAGAAGTAGGGATTTGTGATTTTATTTATTTGTGAACCATAGTATAAATTTTCTGGATAGTGTGTCTGGCTGTCATGTAAATACGATAGTGATTACGTGGCGGCATGTTAAAGGCGGTATGAAATTTATATTTCTGCTATTCGAAAACGCATTAATTCATGGTAAGTGCATTTTATTTTATCCTTGTTCTTATTTTGTAGAATGTTATGTTCATTGGTTCTTTAGTATGAATTTCTGTCGTTATTGTTGTTTTTTTAAATTGTTTGAAATTTATTTTAGTTTATTTTGTTGTTTAGTGTCTAGACTGTGCAATTCGTAGATGTTTTTTTAAGTTGAAACAGAATGCTGTGTACATGGCGATAAAGGTAGTACCTGGGACTTGGAATAATGTGGCAGTACTCATTATTACTTATTTGTGGAGAAAATGAAGATATGGGAATTATGAATTAATGGCGAATTACGGTTCTTTAATCGGAAAAGGCGAAATCGGGAAAATCGGAATTTGTATTGGTTTATTCTGTTGGTGAAACAGGTTTGTTAATTTTGGATCCTGGCCCTACTAAAGTGAATTCGAAATGGGTATTTAGTGGGATTGAAAGGGGTAGTAATAAGTGTTCTTTAAGGTTGTGCGAGATAGAAGTAAAGAGTTTATTTAAGTATTTATTTTCCTGGACTGCTGGAACTAAAGATGAAAGATCTGAAAACGCACATCGTTTATTTATTAGCGGAGGATAGAAAGTTTATCGGACCATAATCAAGATTCTGAAGAAGATTAGGTAATTAGTATTTTAATTATTTGAGGATTTATTTTATGCATTGTTCTAAATGTAAGGTGGAAGTAAGTAATTTGGTATTATTGGGAAATTGTTCTTAGCAATGATTAGTTTAAAGTAATTAGGATTGTAAGTAATTTTTATTAATTTAATGTATGTGCTTATTTATATTTTAAGTAGTGTTTTGAATTTAATTATTTTCAATTAAAATGATGTTATTTTGTGAATTTTATGTTTGTAGGAATTTGGTATTGTTTAGTTGAAGTAAATGTGCATGGAAATAATTTAAATATTTGACACTAAGTATTTGTAATGCTTTGCGGTATGAATTCGTTGGTGAGTTTATAATATAATAGATGATTTAGAGGTAAAAAGTTTTTGGATATTTTATTTATTTTATATGTGGAAATGTTCATATTGGAAAGGGTATATACTTTTCGCGATCAGGTAATTTCTATATGTTCTTTTTCCGGGTTTAAAGATTCAGAAAAATTGTCATGTATTTTCGTGAAATTTTTCTAATTTATGAGAAAAAAAAAGCAGTGTACATGGATATAGTGAAGAGTGTGCGCAATCCCATTTTGTGTAATTCTGGATGTTTTTTAAGTAAAAATAAGTCGACGTGTCATGGTTTATGTGTATGTGTTTTATGAAAAACGCGTAAGGAGTATGGTATTGTGCACTTTTTCCCCAATTTTGCAGTGAATATTTGTCATGATTAAGCAGTTTTGTTAGATAAAATTTCTAGCATAAGTGTAATTGGCTAGTAGATTGTTGGAAGAAGTGTTCAGTAGATAAAAAGAAACATGTCTTTACTTTGTGAAGACAAGATAGCGGCGGGGAAAAAAAAATAGAGGGTTGCTGTAGGAGAGTTGATCGCCAAATTTTCACCAAAAAAACGCCAAGTTCCCATAATCTAAAGATCAACCTACATTTTTTATACCTCTAATAATATTAATTGGTTAGAGTTAACTTTAGGGTACCCCTTGTATTATCGCGAAGTTGTTATTTCGTTTATCGCCAAGTTGTTGTATCATTTATGATAACCTGAGTAATTGAATTTTATGGAAACCCTATTCTGACGTAATCGTTTGCATTATTACGAGAAATTTTGAATTATGGGATGTTTTGCAAGGGCTTTTGTGGTGTGCGTTTCTTAGGAAGTACATTGCTTATTTCATTGTTTAGACTGTGCAAGGGCTGAACATAGTAAGATTAATTTGAAGTTTCTGTATGATTTGGAACAGAAGGGGAAAAGTGAACCAATTCTTAAAACTGAACTGCAACATTTATTTATATAATGTATCATTATTCAGTAACCAAATGACTTTTTTAAGCAGCATACCAGTTTTTAAAAGTTTAAAATTGTCCTACTGACTATTTCCAATGAAAATGAACACAGGAAAAATACATGCAGAACATACATAGGATCTAATGAAAATAAATGTAAAGAGAAATACATAAATACATACAGATGAATAAACATGGGAAAAAACACATTTTAACCCTCTGAATGGCATGGGTTTTGGAATCTATTCATGAACACCCGAACTGAAACGGTATTTAATATCTAAATTTGTATAATTATTTACTTTAGACTATTTTTCATTAACTTCCATTCATTAACATGATATTTACATCATTAAAGAAAGTAAGAAAGCAAAATGTTTTAAATTATAAGCTAATATATACCAAAAGACAAAAAATATCATGATTAGATAAAGGCTGTCATGCCACTCAGAAAGTTAATAAACGTACGTTCTCTTAATAAAATAGACAGCTAAGACTTGTTCACAAAAAATAATTACAGAATGAAATGCATGGGTTATTATTTAACTTATTACATCTACTAAAAGTTAACTGGTTAAAGTAATTAAATTCTAGTAGTTTCTTCAATGTTTCATTCTAAAATAATGAACAGTTTAATATCATAGGATATTTATAGTCTGTCACCAGTATATATGCACTGAGTATTTATAATCTATCTTAAAAAATCATCAATACAGGTATTTCTCCTACAGCAGAAAACTCTAACACCTCACGCTTATAAATAAATGAACATGATAAGTCATTTTAAAATGACAAGTCACTTTAATACACATTGCATAATATCATGCAAGAAAACTACGAAGAATATTTTTTTATATAAAAGCAAACACCGAAATAAATTATATATAACAAACACTTACATTCAATATTTATTAAAATTTTGCAACAATTCAGACAGCTCGAAATGAATTCTTACTTCACTGTTTCCATAATGAAAAATTAGGCCTTTGAGTATAGGAAACTAATCGAAGAAAATCATCAACTAGGTATTTGACGATTAAAAATACCTATTGTACTTCCAATTTTCAATGACAGGTTGAAATTAATTATTAAGATAAATCAACAAACAAAGCTATTTCATAACTGCGATATGAATTACATGAAATAAGTTATATATGAATACCATTTAAAAAACTATAAATAGAATATGACTATCATAAAACAATACTGAATACAGACATACGATCAAAACAAACATTAAAAATTTGCACAAATTTCCTCAGCACGTATTATATTAAGATGTCACTGAATAATCTCCCGCAATTTTTAGGGAGAAAAAAGAGTAAACAGAATTACTAGTACAATATACTGTTACATTATGCTTAGTAAGACACCCGCAATCACGGAAATCCTGATTATAAAACATTTTGGATCAATTAACATAAGACAGAATTCCTTTATTTCCTTTGTATTAAATTCTGCAAACACAGAAAGGTGTGGCTTCACTTAATATTCAAACGTAAACACACTAGAATGATTAAATTGACATTTTCACAATTCAGCTTACCTTATGACTATGTTCATCACTTGCTGTTAAAGTAAAACAAAATATAAAATATAAAGCAACGCAAAATATTGTGCTCATTATTAGAGTTGTTTAAAATATCCAGACAACAATCACCAATACACAAGTTTTATTATACTAAAACTAGCCGGTATATTATGCGGTACTAGTCATTCATAACAAAACTTCAGCGTACTTTCCATTAGAGCAGTGATATTCTCGACAGAAGACACGATTCTAATGAAAACTTTCGTGTACCTAAGCCACGTCAAGTTTAAACAACTTGTGTAACTGCATAGCTGCAGTAACATAAATAAAGGCTCACACAACAACTTAAAAAGATTTATTTATGAAATAAATAAGCAAATATTATTATTTTTATAGTTAATACCAGTGTAACCATAAAAGCTACCAAAAAATATTAAAATCACTTATATAAAGGACAAATATCACTTATATGAAGCGGGTATGGGTATCCATAAAGTCGAGAAAAACATAGGAAAATTGCAAGAGATTTTAAAAGGAAAGTTTACTTATTAAAGGCTTACAAATTTTATTTAAAAAAGAGCTATGTATAGGCTTGAGTTATTTTTAAAACTGAATTATTAATGTAAATATAAAACTGATCTGCTTAGCAATTTAAAGCAAATAAAAACTTAAAATAAATTAATATAAGGGGACGGTGGACTTTAAGGGGTTTAGTCTGGACACCGGTCGAGATCGATATCGAAAAACCAGTCGGAATTCTCTTTCCACTCGACAGCAGAAGGGAGAGTGAGTCTGGCCCCTTCAAATTCCGTCGGCGGAAAGTGAAGTGGAA